AAACTACAACGGGTAAAAAGCCCAACAAAACCAGGGATCATAAAGGACCCAGCAAGGAGCAATCATAAATTTATAATGGCTCCTTGCAAAGTGTTACAAGTGAATCTGCAACCCGCAAAAGCTGCATCACACGTGCTTAGCTGCAGATTCAACTGGGAACAACTGGACATAGTCCTCATTCAGGAGCCATGGACCCATGGTTCATGAATTAAAGGACTTCCAACAAAATCATGTTAGTTAATATACAATAATCAACATGAACATCGAAGGGCAGCAATAATGCTAAATAAGAATATCAACTTTGTTCCTTTACCAGAGTTCATTACAAGGGACTTTTCTGCAAAGGCTGTAGAGGCACCAACTTCAGGGGGTAAGCAAGAGGTAGTGATTGCCTCGGCTTACTTCCCTGGAGACGACGAGACAAATCCACCCCCAGAGGACGTTAAACGACTCGTCAGCTACTGCGAAAGGATGAACAAACACCTTATAATCGGTTGTGATGCCAACTCCTACCACACCATATGGGGCAGCACAAACATCAACAAGAGAGGTGAGTACCTTATTGAATATTTGTTCTCTAATGACTTGGACATTATCAACAATGGTAACAAACCCACCTTTGCAAACAGTGTGCGGCAAGAAGTGTTAGACAACCTTGACAAGCACACACATAAGCAAAGCAACCAAATTAAAAACTGGCACGTCTCCAACGAAATCTCGATGTCGGATCATAAACATATAAGATTCGATATAGAGGTCACAGAGACACGCCTTCTCGAGCATAGAAACACAAAACTGACTGGGGTCCAAAAGCAGAAGTAACCGACTACCCCAACGCAATAGAAACAGAGGGTGAGTTAGAGTATATCACGAACGAAATAAACACTCTAATAATAGAGAGATATCGGTAAAACAGATAGCGCGTATGAACGGTTATAACGTCAGGAGTTATTTTTTTAAAGTAAAGCGGTATCATACTTTCAAATTAGAGTTATCGGTAAACAGTTTAACGTATAATTTGCCTGTTCGCATTCGTTATTTTATAACCGTAGCCTAACTTGCACCTTGTTATGATTTGATTTGTGTTGTCTGTTGTTTATGGTCAGGGACAAAGGATTTGCTTTTTCACTATTTTTTGAACAATCCATATTCACTTGAACACATCAAAAATAATAAAATAAACAATAAACATAACATAACCTATTATTCCACGGCGTTATTTTTAGACGTTATTCGAAATAGCGCTTAACGTAAATGCTGGGTAAATTACGTTATGCGGTAACGTTATTGTAGTACGTAGTACGTAGTGTTGAAAATCGAATCGCGCATAGGTTTAATGTCAAAATAACGTATGCGCTAATACTGCATGAACCTATTTGAGTTACCGATATCTCTCTAATAACAGCCTATGAGAACAGCTGTCCTGTGGAACAAAGGGTCGTAGATAGAAAAACGACCTGGTAAAACAACCGGCTCAGTTCCCTAAGAGCTGGGACAAGAAGGTTATTCAATAGAGCAAAATGCACCAACAACTAGGGCCAATACAGAACTGCCCTAACTGAATACAACAAGGAATTAAGAAGGTCTAAAAGGAAAGCCTGGAGGAATTTCTGTGAGGAGATTACTGACATCCCTCAGACAATGCGACTCCAGAAAGTCGTTGCAAAAGACCACTCAAGCGGCATTGGACTACTGCAAAAACCTGATGGCAGTTACACAGAGAGTAGATTCGAGAGTGTGAAACTGCTCCTATAATCGCACTTTCCAGACTCTGTAGAGTGTGTGCTAAACGACAACTGAGCTAAGGGTATCTCACGCCCAAGCAACCGAATAAAAATTCTGGCCAGAAAAATATTCACCTCAAACAAAATAAGATGGGCTATAATCAATTTTCAGCCCTACAAATCACCAGAAGAAGACAGAATCTTTCCAGGTCTCCTACAACAAGGCTTAGAAAAACTTATAGCTCCACTAGCAATAATATTCAAAGCTAGCTACCTACTACGTTACATTCCCACCAGCTGGCGGGAAGTAAATGTGGTCTTTATTCCAAAGGCTGGGGAAACGTCCCACAGCACAGCCTAAATCGTTCAGACCCATCAGCCAGCCTCGTGTCACCTCAAAACCATGGAGAAAATCATTGATTTATACATAAGAAGCGAATTCGTAACCGATAAATCGCTCCACAAAAACCAATATGCCTATCAAGCAGGCAAATCAACGGAGACAGCCCTACATAGCCTTGTCCATAGGAGTGAAAAGGCACACTCCAACCAAGAAACCGCTCTCTTGATATAGAGGGTGCATTTGATAATACCTCTTATGAGTCCATACATAAGAAAAGCGGCAACAAAAAAAGGCTTTGAGGACACTACAATCACATGGATTGAAACCATGCTACAGGATAGGAAAATCAAAGCAACTCTTGGAAGCGACTCAGCGATGGTCCTAGCAGTCAAGGGGTGCCCCCAAGGAGGTGTATTATCCCCACTGCTATGGTCCATAGTAATAGATGAACTTCTAAACATACTGAGTGACCATGGATTTGTGGTCCTAGGATATGCTGATGACCTTGCAGTCATCATTAGAGGCAAGCATGATAGGATCATTAGTAACTCATTTAGAATGCCCTCAACATCATCAAAAGCTGGTGCTCGCAAGGTGGTCTACGGGTGAATCCTAGCAAGACAATAATTGTACCATTCACAAGGAAAAGAAAGCTCAACTTAATAGCTCCAACACTGGATGGAATACAAATAGGCTTTTCAAGTGAAGTCAAATATCTGGGCGTTGGCCTAGATCAAAAGCTCACCTAGAACTCACATTCAAAAAGAATAAAAGATCGAGCAACAGTAGCTTACTGGACATGCCGAAGACTATTCAGTAAAACATGGGGCCTGAAGCTAAAAATGATCTATTGGTTATATACGATGATTATAAGACCCCTGGTCACATATGCTGCATTGGTGTGGTGGCCAAAAGTGTAGCAGCAGACAGGGCAAAACCAATTGGCAGTTGTACAAAGGCATGCATGTCTTGGAATAACAGGTGCCATGAACACCTGTCCAACCGCTGCTATAGGGGTCATGTTAGATATCATCCCTCTGCACATTGCAGTGAGGAGGGAGGCCTACATGGGAGCCTCAAGGGTTGTACGTTCTCTAAACCTAAAGGAAGGGGACCTTGTTGGACATATGAACATCATTAAAGAATGCCATTGTATACCAACAAAACCGGTGGACATCATGCAGATACGAATTTAATCACCTTTTTAGTATGACCGCAGAAGGCCGCAAAAGTGACAAGATCGTACATAAATTCCCAAACGGTTCATCCATTTGGTACACAGATGGATCGAAAACAGAAGAAGGGGTCGGAGTGGGTGTATATGGCCCAAACTGCAGGCTATTAGTAGCCTTAGGAAGAAACTCCACCATATTCCAAGCGGAAACGTACGCCATAGAACTCTGCGCCAGAAAGTGTCTTGAAATAGACCTACGAGGTGCAAGAATCTTCATCAATTCTGACAGTCATGCGGCACTTAAGGCTCTTAACAGCTTTGTCACTGAATCCAGACTAGTCTGGGACTGTCAGCAACTTCTAAAGCAACTGGCGAACTGCAATAGTCACTGTAGCATGGGTACCAGGGCACCAAATGAATGAAATAGCGGACCGGCTTGCAAGAGAAGGCGTCGCGTCACCATTCCTCGGTCCAGAACCCTTCTTTGGTCTGACAAAACGCCATGTGAGGACCGAACTCAAAAAATGGGTAGAGGCACAACAGGCCTGCCATTTGAACAATACCCCAGGACTTAGACAGGCGAAGCAATTCATCTCGCCAAACACAACAAAGGCTAAGGAACTACTCGATTTCAGCAAACCAGACTTAAGGCTCATAACGGGTCTCCTCACCGGCCACTGCCCTCTAGGCTACCACCTGAAAAAGATGGGTAGAGCTGAATTAGACCTTTGCCGCTTCTGCAAAGAAGCATCCGAATCTGCAAATGCGAAGAATTATGTCACAGAAGACTCATTCATCTGGAGCAGACACATTTGATTGCTGCGGATGTTAAACGAACCAATCCCGGAAAAATCGTGAGATTCGCGAAAAGTCTCAACCTGGGACCCTACTAGAAAAAGGGGAAGCACAATAGATCTATTCAGGTCTCAGTGCAGAGAGGTCCATCACCTAAACGCCCCTAATACAATCTGATCTAATCTAATCTAAATCAATGAGTAAAGTTCGTTAGTTATGAACGTTTATTAAAATACTAGCATATAGGTACGTCAAGCTGATGAAACATATCCATTAATTGATGAACTCTTGATCATTGATTCCATGCATAACTTCATTGACACAATCAAGAAATTTCCATAAGCATGATGAACAAATTTTTTGGGATAAGAAATAATCATCAGCACAATGAATATGGTTTATGAACGATTATCCATAAAACCAAGTAATAGAATCAGTGGTCTTCAAAGAAAGTTCCTTATACTGATGAAAGTTCGAACAAAGGAAAATAAAAATTCATGGGTCTTATGCTATGCTATCGGGTCTTCAAAAAAAAAACCAATCAAAGATTGCTTTGGTTACGAAAACGTACGTCGCATTATTGTTTGTTTATTGGTCAGGATTTTTGACATGACTTTTTGACATTAAATTTCATTGACTGACATTGTCAAAATTAAAGAAAAATATTGCTAAGACCTACGTTCAAAAAACCATAGCAATCTTTGATTGTTTTTTTTTTGAAGACCTGATATTAATGAACATAAATTCGTCACATTAAGGAACAAAGTAATTAGGCTTTGCTATGAACACTGTTTAATTGGATTGATGAAATATTTCATTTAATTAATGACAAAAAAATAACAACCGCCATTCGTCAATATTATGAATGATTTTTTTTTTCAGTGCGCGCAATTGATTTACCTAGGCTTAAGGGCGTAGCAGGCCTTCAAACAATAAAAAATGGTCGAATTTTCGGGTGAATTTATTAATATTTGTCACATTCGAATTGTTTTTCATCCACACGTAACTTCAACGGAGGGCATTGACAGTTCAGCAACTTCTTAAAAGTATCCACACAAACTTGCCCGGTTTGATCTTGCTCTAAGCCCATTTGCCACAATTTCTGGAAATTATCTCCAGGAAAATTATAGCCAATTTTTTCAAACAAGCGTTTTATAACTTCAGGGGAGCGTGGCAGGAAAAAATCCCGATAATTCAGTCCATAGGTGGAATAGATGCTCGGACTAATCACAGCTTTGACCGAAGTTTCATCTCCCAGATGCTCAATGTCAGCCTTACAGCCTCCTATAGGAGGAACAGGACGTGGAAGATCATGCCTTATGGACGGAGTGCCTGCTGCAGGCATTTGATTATTGTCAATAAACAGATAATCGCATTGAGCAGCTTGGCTAGTCGAGGTGTAATATTTGCTGGCTTCCGGTATATTGTCAATTGGTTTAATATCACTCGGCTCTTTGTTAATGTCAATTAAATCCAGGAACTTTCTATAGTCAATTTGATCTTGGTAAATGTACTTTAAGTGCACGCAAAGATGCTCCAACTCTTTGGGAAAAGTTAAATAATAGTACTCACTGCATAATTGATAGAATACGTGTAAGGGAAGCAGGCCACTTTTAGATGCATCTAAATTCATTGCCCTTTTGTAAATATTCCCAAGTTCAACACTTCTGGCCTTCACTAAAAGCCTGATTTTGTTCAAACTGGCTAACCACTGGTAAAAATCACGCTTAAACATGCAAGGTTTAACTTTGGGGTCCTTTAAAAGATCCTCAACTCCATAGAAATGTTGCTTGGAAGGATCACCGTACGTGTGTCCTTTGGGTACGCATTCTATGTTATTGTTAGGTGCCAAAACCTTACCAAGCTGAGATTTATCGCGTTTCAGAAAATCAGCTTGAAATTTTTTGGCATGGCAATGGTCTGGATGGCGCCAATCGCATGCACAAGCTACACCTTTACCTCTTGCATCATAAGTTGTCTGCTTGCCAAAACGTCTATTTGAATTGAAATTCTTGTAGTTTCTAGTAACTTGTTCCGAAGCATTGTAGTCGTTGTGTGTCTTCTTGTACAATTCATGTGCGACTTGGCTCTCTTCCAACACTTGTTTATGACTCTTTGGAGGATTCACAAGCTCTTTAACTGTTACATTTCTTTCCGTTGGAACCCCAAAACAGGTTTCGATAGGATCCATGCCCTTAGGTAAGCCTGGCACTGGATCTCGAACTTTACCCAACTGAGCATTCCAATAACTCATATAGGGGGTATCCTTCAAATCCTGAATTAATTGCTCATATCGAGTAAGAACTGGTGGTTGTAAAATAGGGCTAATTTCAGTGTTGGTACCTAGAAATTGATGGTTTCCTATAGGTGGCATTGTAGCAACAAATTCCTCTTTTCTCCATATTTTAGCATCATGCTTCAGCGCTTCAATTTCATCTACCAGCCTGTACTGCTTGAGCGTTGCAGCCACAGTATCTTCAGGGTCTCCGGATGCTTTGCCTGCCGCGCATATAATCGGGGATCGGTCAATGTATTTTCCATAATTTCCTGCCATAATTTCAGTGTATTATTGTTAATAAATGTCAATCAGTAAATGACGTAAATCAAGGTGTTTTTTTTTAAATGTATATTGTCACGAGGGCCTTGTGGCTAGTTAGTGCCACAAAAGTTAGTGCTTGACTTGAGATTGAGGGTTGCTCTTCAGGAAAACACACAACTAAAAAAAGGAGCTTGACGTATATTGTCTGCTAGTGGGTATATGTTATCTTAAAAACTCTTGAAGACACTTTTTTTAAAAAGACAGGGTCTTTTATATTTTAAAACATGTTGATCTTGCTGTTTCTATAGGAGCGTTGCGACGATGGAGCAGTTCTTGGCGTGACATATTCAGACAGGATAACTTGCTGAAGAAGCGTTTAGAATTTGCGATACTTTGCACGACCATGGTGATGAGACGCGTCTGGAGGTCATTGTAGTCGTGAAATCCATATAACAGCTCCCCCATTAAGTAAAAAGTTGGTGCTTGGCAGCAATTTTTTTAAAAACCAACTGGGTTGTTGTGTAGACTGGTCATCTCTTGTTCTGAGGATAGATTTGGATGAACGGTGTTGTTGCCTATTTGAAGACGTGAATGAGATATGGCTAGGTTTGGGAGGTGCCTTTCGTGGACACTTACAGCAAATGTAAATGATTACAAGTGCGATGATGAAGGAGGCGAAACATTGACCAATGGTTCTTGGATTAGTTTATCCAGTTCATCGGAAAATTGGTTTAGTCTATGCTGTGCCACGTTTTGATCATCGATGTTGATTTTAGATAGTTTAAGAGGTTCCAACTCTGTCACATGAAGATTCACCGGCAGGTGTTTGCAGCAGTCATAGGGAATTTCCACTGCATGGATTTATAGGTGACGTTTCTGTATTTTTCCTCTAGGTGCTTACCATGAATTCTGGAGTTTCCTACAACGGCATTGCATGTTGGTTGGATCTTGAGCACTGTGTTGATTGTTTTTGTCACACTGTTTTTGCCTGATAGGCTTCTAAATCGTGCTACATATGGAAGATATGTAGGTAAAGGAAGGTTATTTTTGGATAAAGAGCGCAATATTTCCTGTAAGGAGTCAACCAAGTCTCTAGGAGTTATAATTGAAGTATGTAAGATCTTTAAACGTACAAACGTTATTGTTTCTAGAATGTCATTAGGGGATTTTCCAGAAAGACGTAGCTTTTCATTTTAGAGTTCTGGTTTGGGCTTCGTACAACTTTAAATCGTTCGAAATGTCAGATATGAATTCTCTGATTTCTGCTATATCGATGTTGAATGTTTCTTCATCGATTTGGAGTTCCTGAATAGTAGAATTAATTTTTTTTTTTTACTGAGATGGTTACAGAAATTTGGTTTTCAAGTGAACTTTCAAGTTCTCGTTCCTCTGTATTAATTTTGTCAATAAATTTATTGAAGTATTCACCATCGGTAGAGTCTAAGTTTCCGGTGATTGATTTAAATATACTTCCTATCCCGTTAATTAGTCCACGTTTGTTTCTATAGTTTGTGTCGCCAGCGATTTCATTAAGTTTCTGGTCGACTGAATCAGCAACTTGAGTTAAAAAGCTGAAATGAGTTTGAACTTCAACTTTGAAGGCTGTCATCCGAGGAGAAGGGTCATCAATTATTTTGGTGAGGCTAGTGAGAATCTTTTTATTGTTCTGGATAGTTTCTTTGAATGATCCTATTTCCTTGTAAACTAAAAGGGTCCATTTATCATTTGAGACTCCAAGACTACCTTCTTCGTGATAGAATATTCCAACTGTGTTGTCAATCGGAGTTAGAAGAAATTGAGGGGTGACGACTGGAATCATCCCGACGAGTCTCGGAAAGAATAGACTAGTCATAGAACGGCTTTAGTCTATCAAAGTTGAATTTTGAAAATTGATTTGTTTTGAGGTTTTTCACTTTCGCTGAGTTTCTGTAAACTTAAATTATTTCGAGAGGTCCGTTAAAAAGATTTTGAGCTTTGTCTTTTATTTGAGTTTCTTTGACATACACCTTGTCACCTGTTTTATATTCCGGAAGATTTTGTGAGACCGTCTTGTCGAACCTTACTTTCAACTTTTCTTTGTGGATATCGGTTCTGGCTTGAGCCATTCTATAATAATATTCCATTCTGTTGTTGAGGTCTCGTATGTATTTGGAAATTAGCTGTTTTTGATTATAAAGAGTCTCAGGAGGTCTATTCGACATATGGCCAATGATTAATTCGAAAGGTGTGAATCCGTGCGTTTTATTTTTGGTATTATTATAACAGATAACTACGTACGCGAGAATGTTGAATGGGCGTTTATCTGGATGTTCCGCTTTATGAACGCGGATCATCTCCATTAAAGTTGGAATCTTTCCAGCTATCCGTTGGATTGTGGGTAGCTAACGCTTGAAAATGTCAATTTTTTGTCGTTGACAGAGGTCTTTGAGTAAGGCGTTGTTGAATTCACCTCCACAATCACAGTGAATTCTTAAAGTAGTACCGTAATGTTGGAAGAATATTAGTAGGGTGTTAACAATTGTGGACGCCTTTTTGTCTGAGATTGGGTAAGCTTAAGTAGGGCTTCGCAAGACCAAGATCAAGACCAAGACCTGCCAGTCTTGGTCTTGGTCTCGAAAAATAAATGCGGTCTTGGTATTGGTCTTGGTCTTGATGTTTCAAGACCAAGACAAGACTGGCTCAGTCTTGGTCTTGGTCTTGATAGTCTTGGTCTTGATAGTCTTGAAAAAAATTTATACCAAATTTTTAAAATATAAGTACATAACATCCAACGACAGAGTAGAGATGGGTTTAGGACTTCAAAAATAAAAAATAAACCTCCCTTTCTGAAAAAGATATGCCGACGTTTCGACCATGCATTTGGTCTTCTTCACAGGCTATTTTTACCACCAAGAGCATTTCATGTCAAAAAATACCGCATAAAGCATTCCACAACAAACATCAATTCTTAAATTATATATTTTTTTTTTAACGGAACAGGAAAGTTGACAAACACATCATAAAATTACCATTCTGTACCGAGGACAAAAATAAATTTCTTTTTGAACCATAGATTAAACCTACCTTACCTACCTGAGCATTCAGGCCAGAGAAAGGTTTTCGAGAACCCTCACATAATCACATACCTCATTTGAATTTTATTGGCCTATTCACAATAATCAGATTTGGGTTAGTTTGGGTGAGATGTGGGGTTTGTGTTAGTTTGGGTTAGTTGGTTAGTTAGTTAAGAATCATCTTTGGAAATTCCAATACTTAGGTATTGTATTATGTAGGGATAGGAAAATATCGATGTGTTCTGTATAAATGAATGTTACCTACACTATGTTGTATTTATGTATTTTTGAAACCTATAATACCTTCTCGTGAATTTCAAAAAATAATAAATTTGATGAATTGATTTAATTAAAAGACATTAAGAGAAGATATAGGAATTTGCATATTTTTATAAATATTGAGTCGATTTTTTTTTTCAAGACCAAGACCAAGACGAGCGAAGCCCTAAGCTTGAGTGAATTTGGTAAGTTCATCCCTAACTGTTAGGGCATAGTTACAAATGGGAATATAAAAAGGTTAATGTTTATCCTTTCAAATGGAGTTTTGAGAGTTTCGGTGATAACGAGAGGAGAAATAAAAAATTTCACACAGATTTTGACTTTCTGGCAGATTTCACAGGCTCTGATGAATTTCTCAACATCTTTGGTTGAACCTTGCCAGGAGTATTTGTCTTTAATCCTTCTAACGGTTTCATTGATTCCACGATGTAAATTTGTTTTTCCAGTATGATATTGGTCCAGGATAATTGGGATTTGGTCTTGATCTGGGGTTTTGACGATATTTTGGCTTATCTTAAGCTTAATGTCTTTTTCGGCAAATATAAAGGAAAATATTTCAAGAATGGGTAATTCTAGATTGTTTTCTATGCAATAGGTTTTTTCCGGGTCTAATTCGTTTTAACACTTGAAAAGCGAGTAAAAGAGGGTAGGGACTATTTTCTCATTTTTGCAAGGAATGTGAATTATGAAGTATTTGCGTTCCTTAACAGATTTGCTGGATAAAATGTTAACCTGATTAGGTTGCAAATTGAAATTTTCCTCGAATAGATCATCAATAATTTTGTAATGTAAGTCTGTTAGTTTGATTTGCCAAAAGAATGTTACAATATTTCTGTGAGACTTGTCCAGAAGTTGTAGGTTGGAAATCTCTATCTTTGAAGTCAATAATTGATCTGGTTTTGTAGAGATTTACGAAGGAGTTATATTCTTCCTCATTTAGGGTTGTTTCATCATTGTTTTCAATTTCGTCGATTGGAATTTCTTGTTGTTGTTAACTTGTAGAGGGGCGGTTTCTTATATCGTCAATATCAGGTTCTTCGTTGTTAGAAGCGAGTATGTGAATTTTGGAGCTTAACTCTGAACAATCAGCAGGCATCAGCGTTCCTATTGATTTTCCCAAGTTTATACTCGATTCGATAGTCGTATTCTTCGAGCTTCAAGCGCCAGCGAGCTAAACGACTTCCAGGGTCTTTAATTGAGAAAAGCCAAGTTGAAGGGCGATGGTCTGTGATAAGGGCAAATTTTCGACCAAAGAGATAAGGTCTAAAATGTTTAACTACCCATACAATGGCCAGTAATTCTCTCTATGGTAGAGTATTTAGTTTCGGCATTGCACAGCCTTCAAGAGGCATAGGCTCTAGGGAAATCTTTTCCTATAGGGCCTTATGACAGAACTGCATCGATAGCAAAAGCGCTTGCGTCGGTGATTAATAGAAATGTCTCTTCGAAATTGAGATAAATCAGAATTGGGTCAGAAACTAGTGCGTTTTTCAATTAGTTGAATGCGGATATGCGTTCTGGGCTGAAGTGAAATGGAACATCTTTCTAGAGAAGTTTTGTCAAGGGCTTTGATGTTTTAGTAAAATTGGGGATAAATCGACGATAATATCCTGCTTATCCTAAAAAGGATTTAATATCTTTTGGATTTTTGAGTGTGGGGAATAAGTTCTGAATACAACTAAT